CACTTACCCCACAACATAATGCTCCCACCACCGAATTTGACCGTTGGCTTAACATATTTGGGCTTATAACGTTGTCCAATTGGTCTTCTGATTAAATGGTTACCGTCCGGGTAGTATAAATTAATTCTAGTCTCATTGATGAAAATGACTCGGGCCCAGTCATCGGAAGTCCAACACTCGTAGTTCTTTGGAATATCATATCTCAGCTTCCGAGTTTTTGCAATGGTCAAGGGTTGTTTTGCTGGTTTTCTTGCATGCAATCCTGCTCAAATCAAGCGACGGTTGATGCTCCATCGAGAAATATTTTGGTTAGACATGGCCTTCAACTTCATGATTCCATGGCTCGAAGTCAGATTTGGGTCGATTCTATGGTCAATGATAGGTGCTCGATCTTCAGTTTTTGTTGTAATCGGTGGACGACCACTTTTCGAAGCTCTATGAAGACTTTGGCCTGCTTCCGATTATGCTGCTAGCCGATCCACCGTCCTTTTATTGCATTTGAAGAGTATCGCAATAGACGGGGATGAATATCCATATTTCTTTGCTTGCACGATCTTTTGCTTATCAGGAGTTGATACATATTTGCGAATCGACAAAAATAAAAATATAATACAAAAAATTCATGAGAACAAACAAAGGCAAAGAGAAAATACAAATTTTCTTAGTGAGACAAGACTTTTGCACCACCTTTTTTGCTCAAGTTTTACGAAAAGAAGGGTTTAAAAAACAACAAAATATTGGAGTCCGGGCATTTACATAGTAAAAGATGAAGGGATAAGCTACTAAAAAAACCCGTTACTTAAAAAGTTGCTTTCGAAAATTTTTAGAATTTTGGACAAAATGTTTCAGAAAAGTAAGTGGGACAAGACTTTTGGGGGGTGGGACAAATGCGACCTTTCTTTTGCGCACCTGGACATTTGCGCACCTTTTTTTGCTGGAAAAGGCCTTAGAAAAGGTCGTAGAGCTTCGAAAATATTTCCACATAAGGGAATCGTATGCGTAGATTCCGAATTTCGACAAATCAGACCTCGCTGTCACGTCAAATTTGGGCTAAAAGACAAAAACTGCGGAAAAGCGTTAAGTTGCGTAGTTTTTGCCTTTTAGCCCAAATTTGACGTGTCAGCGAGGTCTGATTTGTCGAAATTCGGAATCTACGCATACTATGAAAACATTTTTGAAGCTCTACGACCTTTTCTAAGGCCTTTTCCAGCAAAAAAAAGGTCGCATTTGTCCCACTCCCGTAAAAGTCGTCTTCTCATCAAAAATCTAAAGTTGACTGTAAAAAACATTACGATGGATTAATTCGAGAAAATCTCCAAAAAAAGATCATCTTGTAGGGGGGAAAGCCGATTTATTCTTTTTATTAAAAGGAAATCCGTCAATCCGATGTGGGGAAAAGGAGAGTTCCCTTGGAAATTAATCACACCAACGAGTTTCTTCTTTTTGGTTAAAAGATTTTTTTATTCAAACTAGTCTAGTCCTTGAGCCGAAATCTTGGTTTGTTCAGCAATCCCAAAAATTCGCCATCCCAAAAATTGCAGCAATGCTTCTCTACCCGCAGACTTTCTTCGGTCGAGACGAGAATCAGACGGAAAATGAAGGTTTCATTCGCAATTGCAATTTGCATTTAAAGTTTTTAGAAACTAAAAATCATCTCGAGAATTTCATTTCTCTTGCTCAACGACGTGCTCGGCTTGTCGCTACTTGTCCACTCTTTGGTGAGTGTTTGCTAATTTTCTGCAGTCTATTTACTTCACTGAAGTGCTCATTGTTAGTGAGTTAAAGTTACATAATAGAGAAGTAGGTTACGGTAGAAAATGTGGCGATAATTTGTGAAAACCGGCTCCTCGACTGCTTTCCGCATTGATTTTTCTGATTTGGGTGCCCCGGAAAACCATTTTGGGCTGAATCGATACTTTAATTTGGTTGACATTTGAATTTCTATTGTACTCTCCATTTCTCACTTTTTTTTCTTCAAAACCACTTTTTCTGGAGTAGTTTTATGCGTAGATTCCGAAAAACATAACGAAAGCTTGGGAAAATGCGTATAAAGTCAAGTTTCGAGGCTTCAAAGTGCGCGCTCATATAGCTCATATAGCGGATACACATAGGGAAGAGGGTTAAAAATGATCTCTCAAAACATTTTTTAAAGCTAAAAACACTTCTTCTGGCATAATTTAACCTACTGATTACGTTTCTGAACAAATTGGAGCAAAATAAAAAATATTGATTCAAATCTCGATCAGTCAAAATCTCAAAAAATATTTTTTCATTTATTTTTTGCCTCTACCGGTCAATTTAAGTTAGAAAATGAATATTTAGTGGTTTAAAATTGTTTTGGCTCTAGTTTTGACCTTGAAAAGTGCCCCAATAGTTGATAGCTTGGGTACACAAATTTAAAGTGCAAAAAAGTGTAATTTTCAACTTTCAACTGCCAAAATGCCGGTTTTTCAGTTGGAAACCTATGCTAAAATTGTCAAATTCGTACTCAGCACCCTCGATTACCCCTAGAAAAGTGAAAAAATCAAAAATAATGACGGCCCCCCAACCCACAAAGTACCGGGAAATTTTGCGAATTCATTTTCTTTGCTTCTGAACATTTTTTGTTTTGGAACTGATTTGTGGCCCTAAAGAGAGCCGTTGGATTGGGGATTTTAGGTTTTCATCCTTATTCGCAAGGCAATTCGTAACTGTGTGACCAGAAGTGTTAGAACGGGTCATCACGGAACTACTGGTGGCATTGAAACTCATCGAGGTAATCTGCATATTGATCGTTCATATTGATGCCGTGCTTTTTCTTCAGCATTATAGAATTCAGGTTTAATCGGGTTTAATAGGGTTTAATCAGGTTTAATTTGATCTTTTTTGAGCCCACGCACTTAAGTCGCGCTGTATAAAAGCTCAGAATCAAAGAAAATAAATTTGCAAATTTTCCCGAAAAAAGTTGCATTTCCTTAGCAAAAACGCAAAAATCGGATTTTGGGATGGCGATTTTTGGATTCTACGCAAAAAGTTGCCTCAGAAGCAAAAAAAGCCCCACAACTTTATTAGTGCCAAGCTTTTTTATCTTTTTGTGTTTTAGCGAGAGCCATGCTTGACGCAGGAGTGATCTCAATCAAGAAAGTGCGGGTTGCTGTTGTTGGGGATAAAGGTTTTTTCTTTTTATCTATTAAAACTAAAATTTTTAGGCGTTGGAAAGACTAGCCTTATCCGTGCTTTCACGAAAGATCCGGAGAATTCTGTTGAGGTAAATCTATTCACTGATTGTTTAATGTCAAATTTTAGGAAGCTGAAGCAACAAGGATGTTTTATGTCGATGAGCAGCGATACCTTTTCACGGTTGAAAGTTGTTTGTTTGATGTTAATCATTGAAATTTTAGTTGATTGAACTGCACGATAACTGGGATAAAGACGAGGGTCATCGATTTGGAATTGAGGCTGTTTTGTTGTGCTATGATGGAGAGAGAGAACAAGAAAAACGACTTGCTGAGAAGGTATTTTTGATTCTTTCAAGTTTCGATGCTTTACGAGTGCCGTCTATAACGTCTTTAATACCTTTTTTATGTTTTGTTTAGTCAACTTAAGCCTAAACATCAGTATGAAGGTTTTATAACGCGGCAATAACGAAATACGATACAAAATATAGTTTTTTTAGTGGACCCCAAAAATTACCGAACGATTCCCAGCGGCTAAAGTGTATTTGGTGCGCACGAAATGTGATCGACTCTACGAAAATTTTGACGTCTGTTCTTGAATCTTTCGCTTGTATCAGTAACTTTTTTTTTAGGATAGCCACAGTCCAGCTGATGTCGCCCAGATGCTGCACGTTGTAAAAGGCTACGAATGCTCGGCTAAAGAACACGTAAGTTGCATTGCTTTTGAGTTTAATCGTAATCTTTACAGACTGGAATCGAAAAAATGTTTAAAAAACTTGCTCAAGCGCACACTATTGCTCATCCTGAAGATCATGGCAAATTGCAGCGTGTGAATTCGAGTGAAGTCGTGCCAGGTTAGAAAAATACCTGGATTTTCACGGTGTTGCTTAGTGGACAATCAACAGAGAACTTCAACTTGTGGCCTTGCAACTACCGTTTTCTCCGCGCTCAGGTCCTCAATTCCACTCGTCAAGGTTTTTTTTAACAATTTTTATTGTTTACAGCTTTTCTTAAGCAAGCCGGTCACAATCTAAAAGAAATAGCCTGGAATCCCGATTGCTTTCCAGCGACCAAAAATACTGTAAGTTTTTTTATGGCTAATCAGTCTATATCTCATTTAGATCCACTCATACATCCCGTTTTTGTTCTACACTCGCCCGTCATATGACTACAAAAGGATTGGCGAAGAGCACAAACTGCATGTAAGTGGCTAGAAAGCTTTTTAGGTAAAAATTTGCTTTAGGAGGATTACTTGGTGCAAGTTAAACAGGAGCAACACGAGCAAGAACAGAAGACGAATAATTCAGCTCAGTGAGTATACTCATTTTTGCATATCTCGCATTGTTTTAGTTCTTCCGTGACCGGTAGCTTTTCATCAACTTCAGTGACGGCTGAATCTAATGCCAAAGTGTATGCTACAGCAAAATCGACGTGGAAGGTAACAGATTAGTTTGGTTTCTTGTTAAACTTTTTCAATTCAGACTGGTCAAGTCACTACTGCTTCAACTTCGAACGGCGCTTCAAAGACGTAAACTGACTGGATAGTAATTTTAATCTTTTTTTCATTAACTGGTGCACGTGTAAGCGGGTTGAAATCTTTTTGTGGTGCTAATGAATTCAAGCACTTGTGATACATTTTGATGTCTATAAATAAACTTTCTCAACTGTATTTCATTTTTCGTCAAGCAAGTGAAAGTGTTGATCACTGTGCCGACACAACTTCAAATTTGACGAAAACCCATACATTTGCATTTTTGGGGCATAAAAATTTGCATACTCAGTGTAAATCGGGTTTTTTTCATTCATGGCAAAAGAAACAAAATCATTTTCTGCCTTCTTTCTGGCATGCACGACGATTTCGGTGCCCGTCTAGGTTGGTTTTATATTTTTGTTGTTTAAAGGGGAGTGGGACAAATGCGACTTTTTTTTTGCGCACCCGGACATTTGCGCACCTTTTTTTTCCGCGCTTAGCTCTAAGCTCTAAAAAAGCTCTAAAAGCTAATATTAACCAATTTCTATTCTAAAAGTTGTTTTTCTAGGTAACTTGAGGGTGTCGAATTCAAATTTTAGCATATCAGAGCTTGTGGAACCAATTTGAAAGACAAAACGGCTAGGTCAAATTACAGAAAATTGTACAGAAAGAAAATTGTGTTTTCTCTTTGTATAACTCCGTCCGTTCGCTTCCACAAGCTCTCATATGCCAAAATTTCGATTCTACGCCCTAAAATTACCTAGAAAAACAACTTTTGGAATAGAAATTGGTTAATATTAGCTTTTAGAGCTTTTTAAAACGCGAAAAAAGGTGCGCTAATGGGCTAAGTGCGGAAAAAAGGTGCGCAAATGTCCGGGTGCGCAAAAAAAGGTCGCATTTGTCCCACTCCGGTTTAAAGTATTTTTCTTTGTGTTATCCGTAAACTACCTTGCTCATGCATCCCTTTTTCTAATGCTTGAGCTCAATATTCACTTTTTCAATCGCCTCTAATCGCTTTCATTACAGGCACCACGGGCAATTGGTCGTCGTGGCACGCTGGCGGTGATCTTCCCGCGCTCAACATTCCCGCACAAGTCAACGACTATATTGATGTGGCGATTGCGAGCGTTTCAAGTAAGTAAACTTTTGTTTTTTAGATACATAGCAGATGAATTAATAAGTAGTTCTTATAGCCTTACGTAAGTTTTTCTTAAAACTGACAGATTGTCCTCACAAATTGTTCTCTTCAGGTCCATCTTTGCTCGAAGTGCGTCTATTGTCTGCAAAATATTCATTTGAATGGATTCATCATGAACTGAGTGTTACCGAAAACTTTAAGCCATTGTTGAACGCACGGAAAAGTATGTGAACACTTATTTTTAACACTCTAGTTTAATTTTAGATGATTTGGCGGTTACTTCGATTGGTGACACCTGGTATCGAGCGATCGTGTTGAAGAGGGAAACCGCTTCCGAAGTAATACTCTTTGATTGTTAAGGTTTAGTTGTTTTTTAGGTCTTGGTACATTTGCTGGATGAGGGAGATGAAGAACGGGTCGACTTTCGAGCGCTTTACAAAATGCCTTCATCGATCACTCACGTGCCTCGTTTGTTTTCATTAAAATTTTGATCTCATTCATTTTTAGCACTTGCTTTTCCGCTTTGTGTACCTGAATCGTTGTGGGTTGGAATCAGGAAAGAGGATTTACATCACGAGCTTGCCAATGTCAAGTTGACTTTCAGATTGGGTAAGTCGCTTTACTAAGATAGTGTTATTCACTACGCACGTTACCAAACCATCCTGTAGGTTTTATTATTGTATTTAACAGGCTTTACATATGTATTAAACATTTACTTTAGAAAACACAAGAAACACTTGCTTCACCGGCAACGATTTTCAAGTCTATGATGAAGAAACTGGAGCGCTAAAGCCATTAAAAGAAGCACTTCAACAAAGGACAAAGCTTGATAGGTTTGGTGATTTACTGTCCAGCTAACATTGTTGATTTTTTAGAGTCAATTACGTGCTTGCTCAGAAGATTAATCACAAATCAATGGTTAGTTTTTGAAAGTTTGAGATTAGCCAAAGGTATTTTAGGAGTTACCATCATTCCCAACTTTCACTTCGGCGACGCGAAATCAAATGAACAAGAGACAGATGAAACGATTGGGACAAGAGCCATTTAATCAAGGACATGAAGATCCCACCACGAGGTTGCCGACTTCAACGAACATAACAATTATAAAACCATCGAGCGAAGGACTTAGTGAGTTTTTTGGTTGAAGTATTATTAGAATGTAATACTTTAGAGCTGTGATATAATCTCATGAAGTTTTATAATGTCTTTTCCAGGTGTTGGTGCTATTGTTGCAATTTGTATCTCTTCGGTCCTCTCCATCTTGCTCCTCCTTCTCGCAAGTGCTCTTTGTTTTCACTTTTTAAAGAAGCAAAAGTGGAGGAAGCTTTTTGGGAAACGTTTTCGCGATGAAGAAAAAGCTACAGTTGAGAGTCGAGAAGACATGGAATCTGAGAGGTGAATGCTTTGGTTTAAATAATGATCACTCATTCACCTAGATGAATTAAGTTATTCTATTTTGGTGCTGATTGTCCTCCGCTAATCATCAAACTTTTGTCTTTCAGAAAGGAGGATACCGAACGGGAAACACGAGTCGCTGCTGGTCATTCTGCAACGATTCTCAGACAAAAGAAGGCACTTCCACCTTTATCCAAGCAAACTGAGTAAGTTTGGCATCTATGAAACTTTTCTAGAGTATTTTTTAGATTGAACTCCAGTCAACCTCCACCACAACCAGCTCAGCAAATCGCTATGGTTGCCGATAGGTAAAACACATTTCTTGAAAACTGACTGTTTGCCTATTTAGTGCGACTGCAATAACTCCGTTGGACCAAGCGAGCCGTGGAGAACCTGAAGAAGAACGGGGATCCGATAATCCTCCACCTATCCACCACGAGGAGAAAGTCGCCAAGCTTGACCCACAAATTATTGGCAGAATTGGAACATTGATGGCCTTGGGAAAAATGAGGAGTGCGGATGATAAGAAGTACAATTACATTTAATTGAAAGTTTAATTGATGTTTAGTCATCGCAAGTCGTCGAGTAGCGTTGATCCGACCCAAATATCGTCAACGCGTCCATCATTGTGCTTGAGTGATCGACAATTAGAGCGAAGTACTACAAAAGCAACTTCTAAAAATATTAGCTAACGTAGATTATTCAAATAATTTCTTTTTAGATCAAAAATCTGCGTTGACTACTCCGAATCCAACTATGAAGAGCATTACAAGCATCCGAAACACAAGTAAAGTTTGGTTTTAAATTAAAATTATTGTTCTTTTTAGGTGAATCCGTATCTTCTCGTCCCAAACACCGTCAACAATCGGATCAACACAAGAATGGCTCCTCACTTCTCGTTTCTCCGGCGATGCAAACCACTCAACGGGAGAGCGACTCTACCTCAGCTAAAAGAAAGCTAAAAGAAGAGGCATCGATGAGAACGGCTATTGCAAAAACGTAATGGCTTTCCTTCCTAAAACAATCACTTATAATTTAGTGATTCGACGCTGAGCATGGCAAAACGTTTGGGCGCCGGTCGTGAGCAAGGAGTTTGGGAAGAGAATTCGACGATCGACGAAGAAGAGGAGACTGATGACAAGAAAATCCCTGATAACTTGATGCTTGGTGTAGAGAAAGAGGTATATTTAGCTCATGCATAACCCAATATCATATTTCTTTTGCAGCTCTACTATGGTACAACGTTTGACAACCCATCAAAACCTTCTTCCCATCGATCGTCTCAACCGATGTCCATTCACGAATCCGATCTCGAGCCTCCTCATTTCACACATATCAAACAGATTCTTGGGTAATTTTTATTTGCTTACTAATTGGCAATTAACTGTTTACTAAATATTTAATCAACTTACCTATTCGTATTTTTAATTTAGTGCACCCGCTTCACCTCCAATTACATGGGCTCTCACTCCGCCAAGTGATTTTTGCTTATCTGACAGAAGTGATGCGATCAGCAAGATGAAAATGGCATCTGCGCCTCAGCTTGTTCAACAACAATCTTTGGAACGAAGTCGCTCTAAAGGCTTTGAATATGAGGTAGCGAGGAGTTTATTTGTATACAATTTCTTCTTTCAGGTCTCGACAGACGACAAAATTCGAGTGAATGAGCCAATGGATTTCACTACGACGCACTCTGGAGGTGAGTTGGGTTATTTTGTATTTGTATTTTTTGTTTAGGTCCAATCACGGCCATCTTATCTCCGGTACTTGATGAATCGAAGGATCATAACACCAAAGAGAAGGTAAGTGCTTAAAAAGGCGTTTATATTACTAAATTTACCACAGATAACTTCCAAGCTCTCGCCCATCGACGCTGACTTACAATCTTCTTCATTTCACTCGGCGATGAGTGAAGGTGTGAACGATTACTAATAAATGGGTCTGTGTATTCTTTTTGTGTCTTCCTGTATATGACCTTATTTGTGTTATAGTTTCTATTCGATATGCTTGAAATTTGAATCATGAATTCATTGTCTTTGTACTCCGATGTAAGGCGACCACCATATGGTACATTTTATCGGCCGCTATAATATGCGTAATATTTGTTGTGACTTTGCGTTTTGAAGCGCAAGGCCCATTTGCAGAATAAAGTTGAAACGACAACGTGATCTGATTGACGGATAAAATTGGAATAGTGAACAACTAATGAGCAGACTGTAAAGTAGTTCCCAAGAAAAGTTGACCCTAACGGTTTCAATGTCTGTAAACGCCAAAGTTACTATAATGTTCGTTTTCTGAACACTCCTAACCGTAGTTTTTACTTTGCAAACAGAATAACATTTATTTTCGAAACAGATAAACAACAGATTACTTCTTTGCTCGCAGCTTACGAAGATAAAATTCTAATTCCTTTCCTTCGAGGATGTAACCATCACATCGACCAACTTGACCGGGGCTAGAGGAGATTCGCGCTAAAAGAATAAATAAAAACTTCAACAAAGAATTTGTCCAACCTAAAAGTTTTCCTGTGGCAAATTGCTCGGCAACTTTTGGGTCGATGGCCGCTTTGCGTTGACGCAGAATATATTCCTTTGTGAATTTCCCGTTGACTTTCTTTTCGTCAATTTTGGCTTGATCCTCATCCGTCAGTTTGGTGCCCCTCTTGCGCGCAAGTGGAATCGCATAGTGATTCTCGTACCATTGGCGGAACGGTAGTGCGTCGATGGAAACGATTGTGCCCTTCACCAAAGTCTTTGTGCGTACGAGTTCGTTGCTGGTCGCATTGTAGACAGTGTCCAAAATACGAGTCTTCGCAGCAACACCTAAGCAAGGAAACTGTTGTAGGTCGGAAAACAAATTGTTAGCGCATGCTAACAATTTGTGCTCGTTAAAAAACTTTTTTGCGATATAGCGTACGTAATTTCCAACACTCCAACTTAGGTAACTCTAGCTCAATAATTTAAACATAGACAAGCAAAAACTAACCCTCCGAACCCCAAGAGTAGTTTCCAGCATTCAATCGAAGACCACGGCGTTTGATGATTCCACCGCGGCATCTCACCGAATGGACCCTCTGCTCACCGATCTTCGTGTTCGCTGCGGGGCGCCCGAGCTCGTGCTTCCTCTTGTCATGTGGTTGTGCGCGTTTGCCTCCAGTTCCTCGCCGTTTGTGCCAGTTATCACGAGTGATACCCATTTCTAAATCAAAGAAAAATTTAATTGCTTTGATACAAGAGAAAAAAATTAAATGAGTTTTTAAAAATAGAAAATGAAGGGGGTGGGACAAATGCGACCTTTTTTTTGCGCACCTGGACATTTGCGCACCTTTTTTTTTGCTGGAAAAGGCCTTAGGCAAGGCCGTAGAGCTTCGAAAATATTTCGAAAATACTAAAATTCCATATAAGGGAATCGTATGCGTAGATTCCGAATTTCGACAAATCAGACCTCGCTGACACGTCAAATTTGGGCTAAAGGGGCAAAAACTGCGGAAAAGCGTTAAGTTGCGTAGTTTTTGCCTTTTAGCCCAAATTTGACGTGTCAGCGAAATCTGATTTGTCGAAATTCGGAATCTACGCATACGATTCCCTTCTATACGAAATTTTTGAAGCTCTACGACCTTTCCTAAGGCCTTTTCTAGCAAAAAAAAAGGTGCGCAAATGTCCAGGTGCGCAAAAAAAAGGTCGCATTTGTCCCACTCCCGAAAATGAAAATTAAATGAGACAATCGTGAGAGGAAACTACAGTAAGCTAGAGTTGTTGCTAAATAGCAAGTCACAATTTTGCAATTAATTTAATTTTCCATACTGTCTGGGATTCGGATAATTTACATTTAAGAGTGAATAAAACGAAAATGCGACGGTCGCAAAATCATTCTTTTCAATGTCGAGCTTCAAGGGTGGTGGCCCGAATAATCGCCGGACGTCAAGGTATTTTTAACTTTGTTATTATTGTTATCTTTTGTAACGGATATGTTTCTCTTAATTTTTATCTCAAAGATTATATTCTTTTTGCTTTAGTCTATGCGTGAGTCCGCTTCCCGGTCCAATTCATCGGAATGAGCACACTGGGGGATCCATAATGAAACAGGACAAGATTAGGTGGAGATTATTATTTAGCGATTAAACCTGGTGTTCTTTAGATACTTGGACGAGTTGGTCACCGAGTTGCGGAAGCTGAATTGTGTGCAAGTGGACGAGCCGGGCTCTCTTCGACACTCGGCGCTTTTGCTCTCATCGGAAATTGACAAGTAAGCAGTTTGACTTGATAATTGATAAGCTGTAATAATAGTTGAGCGTTTGCTTAGTATTAGTTTTAAAGATTACAACCTTTCACAATGTAATTTTTGTGATTGCACTATGAAAGCTTTAATTTCATTCGACCTTTCTACGTTTCATACACAAAATCATATTTTGTACACCTTGGGATAGTATGGTTTATCGTCAAGCATCTGAATAAAATCCCAAGATGCACAAAATCAAATTTTTGTTTAGTGTTTGGAAGGACATCGCTTCGCCAACTGCCAGGAACAGCTCACCAATGGAAGTGAGTTTGGCTTTATTCCAGTAGTCTTTTTTGTTTAGCTTTCTCGACGCGATCAACCCAACTTTGCAATTCATAGCCCGGTGACACCAATTACAAAAGTGCCTCGCTTGGAAAATGAAGGCGCCACTTCTCTCTTTGGAACCAATACATCACCAACTCTTTTAAAGGTTTTCTTTGGTCACTTTGTATTTACTTTGTTCTCTTTAGTCGCTGCTCAATCAGCTGCAATCGCCACTCAATGTGCTCAACGGGTCGCCGAATTTCTGCTCGTCAGCTCCATCGCCGACTTCATTCTCGCCTCCATCACTCATCAATCTTTCGACGCCAATTCGCGTGTACACGGCCAATCTTCTCAAGGGATGCATTGAGGTCAAGATGGATAACGGTGAATACGAGTTTCGGCAGAAGATCCCCATCCCACAAACAACTAAGTGAGTGTTTTGTTGATTAAATAATGATATTCGTTTAGTGCTCACTGCAACTTTATCGGCCGCATTTTGGGACCACGAGGAATCTCGGTGAAACAACTCGAAAGTGAGACGGGATGTTCGATTCTGATTCGAGGAGAGGGATCGGTTAAGGTACGCATTGTTGTTGTTTTGACTTTTTACTAAACCTTTAGGATTCTGAGCGTGAGGCTCGTTTACGTGGAATGCCTGGTTGGGAGCATTTGGTCGAATCTCTTCACGTTCTCGTTACTGTCACTGCTGCGAACACTAGCGAAAGAACGGCGTAAGTTTAATATTTCTTTAATTAGACTAACAAATCGATAGTCGTTTCAAACGGTGGCTCTTGCATAGTTTCCGGGTATTTTGAACGGGTCGTCACGCTTTGAGGTTCTATAACTTTGTCCAGAGATAATATTTTATTAACTTTTATATCATTGTATGGAGTACATTTCAGGCTTTCAAATGATACTAAATAGAGCTTGATTGGATTTTTTATTCCCATGCAAACAAGGCGACACGACACCCGAGTTGGATAGGACTCTTTTGCTCAGAGTTGGCTCTGATTTTCTTTGAGTGGATGATCCAATCAAGCTCTATTTAGTATCAGTTGAAACCTGAAATTTCCTCTGTACAATGATATAAAAAGTTAACAAAAACATTATCTCTGGAGAAAGTTTTAGTCCTTCAAAGCGTGACGACCCGTTTAAAATACCCGAAAACTACGCAAGAGCCCAAACATTTTCTTTTTAGCGCTCGTAAGAAGATGGAGCACGGTGTTGGTGCAGTTCAACGACTCCTAGCCACTCCCGTCGATGATGAGTACAAGAAGAAACAACTGGAACAGGTAAAGTGTTTTGTTTAATGCAGTTGTATGCGAATTTCAGTAATAACTGACAAAATTCATTGTTCTTGCTTTCAGCTGGCAATCATCAATGGAACCTATCGGCCAAACGACACTCAACAGAGCCCGTAAAGTGATGACTGAAGACGGAATGATGCAAAGTGAATGCTAGAACAAAGAAAACATTGTTGTCGTGTTTTCTCTCTATTTAATACTGGGTCCTCCTCTTCACTCATCATTCTTTGAAAGTGTACAATTTTTCATGGTTACTTAGAATCATTCTCTTTGGCCCTCGTGTCTTCTTTTTGTGCGTGTTGGTACTCGATTTTGTTTTTTTTCTGCTTTCACATGCACATGGCGGTGATTTTCTTTTGTAGAGTTGATCGAAATAAATAATTGGGTAGTGGTTTTAAGAGCTTTGAGGCTTGTTTGTGCCTTGTTTGCTAAAGATTCCTGATTTATTGTTCTTCTGTTGCTACTGGAAATGGTAGATATTGGTGGACTTGGGGAAAGAAAAGCGATATATCGAGTATTTTTTGGTTTCCTAACAACCAGACACCCCTTTTCCTCCAATTTTGAAAGATCTCGTGATGGATTCCAGAAAAGTTTTCTTTCTTTTTTCTAGACCCAGACATTTGTGTGTTACTCATGGAAACTGTCAAAACAAAAAGGTGAAATTAGATTTCGAGATGAATCAGCTTTTTGAGGGGAATTTTGAAATTTCTGGTAACAGAAAGTGATGAGAAATTGGTCCTAGCTTTATGAGTCACATGACGAGATTTGAGTTGTATTTTGTGATCATGCAAACGCACCTCTTCTATAATACTTTTAAGAAGATCATCTTTTAAGAAGATCAGAACGAAAATATTCGAGGTCAAAGTTAGTGAATTTTGACAGCCTTTCTCGAGTTTCTGGCACACTATTTTCGGAAAAGTTATTCCCTCTCAAAAAGTGAGCTCGTAGGCTAGTAGATAGTGAGCTTGCCCACGAAACTTTTTGGGATGGGTTCAATTCCCGTGCTTGCAACTTTTTTTTTGCTTTTTAAAAATTCGACTTCTTGACGCATTTATAATCGTTTTTTTGAACAAGCACAGAACAAGTCCAAAGCTCACCCAATAAAACTAATCAAAAGCAGTTAAACGCTAATCAGATTCAGAATTTCTTCTTTCTAAAATCCGTTTTTTATTGTTTTTGATTATTCAGGTGGTAAAAATGTTATTTAGATTCCCGTAGGGGGAAATTAGCTCTTTCCTCTTTTCTCTCAAAATTTGGCAACACTACAAAATTCTCTCATGCGCATTTTTGGGAAATGGGCCGAAAATAACCTCAAAAAGTTGATTGGCTTGACTCAAAAAGGTAAACTTTTGGCTAAAAATGGTTCTTTAACCAACTGGATACTCTTTACTTCAGAGAATGTGGTGAAGCTGCGTTAACAGCTTTATTCTTTATGGTCACTTTTAAACGAACCCCTTCTAGGTGCACTCATTTCTCCATTTTTCTTTCAATGGCAAGAGAAAAGCGAAGAATGCAATGCACCAGGAAGGGTGCGTTTACAAATTTTAGCTCCCGCTGCAGTATTCACTCCACAAAATCCCATAACCCATACCAATTCCATTGTTCGGAAATGATTGTTTTCATTCGGAAACCTATTTCTTAGGTGCTAATTTTGGTGAAGTTTGTTTCGAAGAGTGATTTTCGCGAGGAATGAGTTTGTTGAATTGAAATTGTTTACCACTTTTTTTTAGATTACTATACAGTTTCAGAGCTTTACTTTTACTTTTGATTTGATTGATTTGATTTGATTGATTTGATTTGATTTGATTTAATTTGATTTGATTGATTTGATTTGATTTGATTGATTTGATTTGATTGATTTGATTTGATTGATTTGATTTGATTGATTTGATTTGATTGATTTGATTGATTTGATTTGATTTGATTTGATTTGATTGATTTGATTGATTTGATTTGATTGATTTGATTTGATTGATTTGATTTGATTGATTTGATTTGATTGATTTGATTTGATTGATTTGATTGATTTGATTGATTTGATTTGATTGATTTGATTTGATTGATTTGATTTGATTGATTTGATTTGATTGATTTGATTTGATTTGATTTGATTGATTTGATTTGATTGATTTGATTTGATTTGATTGATTTGATTTGATTTGATTGATTGAAATATTGAGTTAACGAGAAAGAAAGGATTATTTTCTAAAAAATATCCCTTTCCTTAAAACTACCGTCATCTTATCTCTATTTTTATCCAATTTATCCATTTTTTTATCCAATTCTGTACGGATTCACAAAGAATAGCAACAAAAATATAGATTAGATAAAAATTAGATAAGATTACGGCAGTTTAAAGAAAATTGACTTGTTTTAAAATGTTTTAGTTCTTTTAAAATAATTTCCTCGCTTTGAAGTCCTCTTTTTTTAAGCCAAACTTGTTGATTACTATTTTTTAATATTAACTCTATTGTGGATTTTGAAAGGTTTCAGGAAGCCCCAATTTGTGGGCAAAGAGTGCCAGGCAACACACTCCCAGAAAACTCTCACCACCCCCCTTTCGCAATATTCGGAAAAATCGGAAAAGTACAATTTTCTTCTCCTGATTTTATTAACCTTTCTTTTGCGAGTGGTAAACAGCTGAATATTGTTTGTGAGTTTTTGTCTGTGATATTTCATTTGTCTTTTTCTACAATCTAGTTTTACCTTTTAAAAACTTTAAACCTTGTAAACTTCAAAAATCCATTGGTGGATCTATGTTTAAGATTGGTTTAGTTATTTTAGATGAACAAACGTGGTAGAACCTAATCAGGTCAGAATTTGATTTGAATTGGTCAAGGACCAAATCCAGACTTGACTTTTGGCTGGTTCAGATGGGCTAATGGGGGTCCAGGTTAAAACAAGACTGACAGCTCAGAACTAGGCCTGGTTTTTAGCTGACTGGAGTCCACAGGTTCTTTTATTGGAAACCGTATTGAAATCGTATTGGAACCGTATTAGATCAGAATTGAAACCGTATTGGAACTGTATTGAAACCGTATTGGAACCGTATTAGATCAGAATTGGAACCGTATTGGATCCGTTTCTTGTGAAGTTTCTTATGGACTTCTTGTGAACCGACCAGGCTAAAAGCCAAGGCTCGAATAGACAACCTTCATTCCCATCGAATTTGACCAAAATTAGGGCTGATCGAATAAAAACTGGTGGCCAGATTACGGTAGCTTTGCCTTTTATTGAGCTGTCTAGAAAATCTTTTCATTTCTTTTCATACTTTCTTTTGCAAAAATAACAAATTCACCAACTAATCTATGCTTTTTTTTCTAAATAAAAAGTGTTTATTGTAAAAATTTTCATATTTTCCGCCATCTAACTTTGATCTTGAATTTCTTGGCTCACAATTGTCCAATTGAAACAATTTTTGTATCAATCGACAGAAAAAGACTTGACGAGTTTAGTGATACAAAAATTGTTTCAATTGGACAATTGTGAGCCAAGAAATTAAAGGTCAAAGTCAGATGACGTCAAGAAACTTTTTATGCTTTAAAATTCTCCTTTTTTTCAAAAATTTCACCCCTTTCACAGATTTCTTTAGAGTTAATTGAATGATTTGTTGGTTTTAAACGAAAGTACGAAAAGGAACGCAAAAGAAGAAGCGCAGAAAACTTTCTAACCCAAATAGTATATTTCTGGTATTGGAAGAAGATTGAGAGATTGTATCCTGTGCAGAGGTGTCCACGACCGTTTCCCCTTTCCTCTATCGAGAAACCAATTAGAAGCCATACAAACCCCTTCTCATTTCCCACCACTCGCTCCAATCAGTCTAAACTTTTAGTCAAAAACTCTTTTCCATATTTTCTCGCAAAAGAAACACCGCTTAATTGAAAAAGTCGGTAAAAATTTCCCATGAGAGTTGTACGTTTTTTTGAAATCTTTCTTCAATCTTTATTTTTGAAAACTTTAGCCGTTCAAATTTTCCTCTTTTTTTTGAAATTTTGATTAACATTTTTATTTAAAAAGTTTGTTTGAATAGTAATTTCTTTCAATTTGAATTTTGTTTTCATTTTCTCAAAGTTAAAGTTATTTAGCTTAGATACTTTTAGCTAAATCGGCTAAATGGCTAAATACTTTAATACTAAATATTTAAATACTTAAATAGTAACCCTTTAGATATTAGATAAGTTTAAAGAAGTACTGTAGCTTTTATTTAGATCTATAACTTTAAAGAATTTGACTAGAAATATTTCTTTCGAGCTTGTGCTCATAGCTAAACGCACTTATTCTTAATTCTATTCTTAATTCTCCTTAATACCATTAGAACAAGCTATTCTTGATACCATTAGATTCGCCAAGTCTTTCTCTGTCGATTGGTACAACAATTATTGAAATTGGTCAACTCAACACCAAGAAATTTGAGCTCAAAGTTAGATTGCCAATGGCAAAAGGGTGGGGCGATTGTGGGGCCTTTTATACGAGGCCCCGCCCCCTTCCCCCATTGCCATAACTTTGAGCTCAAATATCTTGGTGTTGAGCTGTTCAATTAAGCTATTCTTGTAACCATTTGATTTGCCAAGTCTTTCTCTGTCGATTTGTATAAAAACTTTTGAAATTGGACAGCTAAGCACCAAGGAATTTGAGCTCAAAGTTCTGGCAATGGGAAAAGGGGCGGAGCCTCGCGTATAAAAGGTCCATCGCCGCGCCCCTTTTTGCGTCAAATGTTCCACAATCTTCCAGACAAGCAACAGCGCAAAAGGTAATAATTTTGCAAAAAGTTACTTAGCGTTGTTACCGTTCGGTTATCAATTTAAGTGCGTTTTCTTTTTAGCATTAAACTTGTAGAATCAACTCTAAATTTAGTAATCTACTGGTTTTGACATTTTGATTAAGATTTTTATTTAAAAATTATATTTGATTAGTAATTTCTCTCAATTTGAATTTGGTTTTCTTTTCTTTGGAGCCTTTGCTCATTGCTAAACGCACACTGTCTGGTGCATTGAATTCTTTAATTTCTCGTGATATCAAATCGTCGCTATGAGAAAAGTGGAGAATTCAGTGCGCTAGAAAGGATGCGTTTACAGATTCAAGCACAAAGTACACGTGGAAATTGCTAACTTCTCAGAGTCACATATTTAAAGGTCCCATATTTCTCTACTTTGTGCAATCCGGTTGTCTAGGAGGAGAACACTGAACTTTGAGGCAGCTTTTAAAAAGAAAACTTACTCAAATCTCTTTTCACTTTGTACAAATATCTTTTAGCTAATTTTTTAGCTAATTTTAAACCAATTTCCATTCCAAAATTTGTTTTTCTAGGTGATTTTCGAGGGTAGAACCGAAATTTTGACATATCAGAGCTAGCTTTTCCCATTGCCAGAACTTTGAGCTCAAATTCCTTGGTGCTTAGCTGTCCAATCAGAAAAGTTTTTATACAAATCGACAGAGAAAGACTTGGCGAATCAAATGGTTACAAGAATAGCTTAATTGAACAGCTCAACACCAAGATATTTGAGCTCAAAGTTATAGCAATGGGGAAGGAGGCGGGGCTTTCTTTAAAGTTTTTAACATCAATATGAAATCAATTTGAAAGATAAAGCGGCTAGATAAAATTACAGAAATTTGCTGATTTTTCCCTATGTATAACTCCGCCCGTTCGCTTCCACAAGCTCTGATATGCTAAAATTTCGATTCTACGCCCGAAAATTACCTAGAAAAACAACTTTTTGAATGGAAATTGATTTAAGATTAGCTTTTTTTTCTAAACCCGAAAAAACGTGCACATTTGTTCTATTTTGTTCTGGCCTACCTTTGGAACAACCCTGATGTTAGAAACTTTAAAGAAAAGTTAAGTAAATGGCAAAGAAAGATTTCCGAAGAGGGAATTGAACTCTCAACCTTTCTTGCTTTTAATGCTTTCCGGACAGATTTTTTCGGTCATTTTTTTTTATGAATTTCTATCCGCTTTTCGATTTCAATTTATTTCTTTAAAGAATCTTTAATTCTTTTCTTTAAAGAATTCTTTAGTCAAAAGAAAACTATAAGTCAAAATCGAGAGTTTTTCAATTTTCCCTAAATTTCTCACGTTGACGACAATTCTTGTGACTTTTCTCGAAAATTCTTCCAATTTTGGTTCAATTTTCCTTTAATAAGCTTTATTTTTTCCTCCGTGCCAATCCGTGGCAATTATCTAGTTCTTTTTTCACCTGTACCTTGTTTTTGGCTGATTTTTTTAAGGAAACCCTTTCAAAGTCACGCGGTGGATAGAATACGTGACGAAATTTGCATTGATTTGCTCATTCACTTAAAAATAGGTCTCTTTTTTACTTATAGATCTTTTTATTCACTCTTTTTTTTGTATAATTGATGAATTGATGAATTTGAGGATTGGAAAATGAAAAAAAAGACCATTTTATGAATGTTTTTTCGTGCTCCAGACGGGATTTTGGTTTGGTTTTTGGATTTTGATTAGATTTTGATTAGATTTTGGTGTATTTTCTCACATAAAGGCACACCTTCTGGTACACTTGTTTTTGAGATTTTCTGCTTGAAATTGTTGTAAACGTATCCCCTTCTAGTGCACTGAATTTGAAGCAAAGAAAGGAAAACGAAATTGTTTACAAATTGTTTACAAATTTGGTTTTCCTTTTTTTTGGAAACTGTTTAAAAATCCTCACTCGATCAAATTGTTATAAATATTTCTTTTTAAACATTTTTTTTCATTTCCTTTGTCTTTTTCATTTCTTTTGCCTTTTTTTACCTTTTTCATTAGCAATTTTCAACGATTTTGCATTTTCAGGTTCAATTCTCTCTTTCGCAACGAGAAAACGATGTTGTGGCAATCGTTTTGCTCACTAATACTCGTCTCATTCGTTTTCGGTGATAATCTTGAGTGCTATCAAGGAGAGGTGCAACCTGGGATGACAACTTCGCAGATTGTAAGTAGTATTTCCTCTTTCTTCTCTGGCCAAAAAGATACCGAATAGCTGAGTGCTTAGAGCATCTGTCCGGAAAGCAAAAGCAATCTCTACTCTACGTAGAGTACTTTAACTTCTATGCAATGCCAGAAGTCAATCAAGAGTCGAAGCAAGAAAGGTTGAGAGTTTAATTCCCTCTTCGGAAATCTTTCTTTGCCATTTACTTTACATTTCTTTAAAGGTTCTACCATCAGAGTGGTTCCAAAGGTAGGCCAGAAGTCGGATCTTGCACTGAGTTTACTGCAGGCTGCGACTTTTGACTGACTTCTGGCATTGCATAGAAGTTAAAGTACTCTACATAGAGTAGAGATAAATTTCAAAAGAAGTCAGACTTCAATTGTTCTTGTTTAACGATGAGAAAATCTTCACTATTTAACACTTTTCAAATCTACGAGACATTAAAAATGTTAGAATCACATTTAACTTTGTTTTTTTCGAGAGAACAACATAAGTTTGTGACAAGTTCATTTTTTTGTCTCAGTAGACGCTTCCTACAGATTCTAGGCAAGCAACAGATTTTATCATTAACTTAGCGTACATCATTTTCTATTAAAGATATTCAGGGATACTTCAGCCAGATCACCCCTGCAAGTTAAGCTATCGGACATTTGACGCGCCCTCCCCTTTTACCATTACCATAACTTTGAGCTCAAATATCTTGGTGTTGAGCTGTTCAGCTAAGCTATTCTTGATACCATTAGATTCGCCAAGTCTTTCTCTGTCGATTTGTATAAAAACTTTTTTGATTTTTGGGCTTTGTACAATGTCCCAGAATGTCTTTCCAACAAGCCACAGTACAAATTTGATTTTCAGGCTCAAGCGATCCTGTGCTCAAACTGCAACTATTGTCTGAAATTGGACGGAAGCCGGGGCGGGAATATCTATCAATATCGAGGATGTGGCTGCCTAAACCAATATCAATACACCTGTTCGGTGAGTTGAATTTCTTAACAGTTCTTAAAATTGACTCACAATCAGATGATCACACAGTTTTTTTTTCTTTTGAATTTCCTTTTTCATTTAAACGATTCCAGTCAACGACAACAATGAATGGGATTTCAAATGTGCCCGGTTTCACGGGAAGCGCCTACTGTTGCACAGGTGAGCTTTTTTTTCAGAGTCAAATTGATTAACGCGGGTAATTTTTGATGTAATAAGAAAAACGACAAGAAAACTCATGTTTTAGAATCGAAATTACCATGGGAATAATGTAAAAGTTTCACTGTTTTATGTTTTTATTAACATTAGATCATTAAATATTAAGAAATAGGCTGAAAGCTGCTTAACAGCGAGTATATCTGGCTAGATGCCTCGTCGCCGTGGCGCAGCCAGGAGCGCGCTCGCCTACGGACCACACGGTCCGGGTTCGACCCTCCGTACTGCCGTATTTAGATTTTTTTCAAATTTCTTATTTTAAATAAACAACTATATTATATTTTAAGATTTTTCATCTTTTCAGGCCGAGGCTGTAACACTGCTTTCTCTTCCTCTTCCCTCATCAGCTTGATCCTCCTCGGTGTCGCGGCTCTTCTCCGATGAACAAATTCCTTAAAATCTCATTTTCTCTATTCATTTTCATTTCCCCACGCTCAACTCTTTCCTATAAATTGTCTAAGCTTGTAAAATAAATAAGAATTACCTCTTTAACATCTAACATAGCTGTGATTTGTCTTTTTTTCCGTAAAACTTCAAATATTTTATCAAGATAGTTTTTGACACCGGTTTTTTTAAAGAATAAATCAAAGATCAAAATGAATTGATTGAAAAAAATTGAAAATTGAGTATTATTTGATCCTGGGGTTCGGAAAAGGAAATTTTTCTGAAGAAAATGCAGATGATGAGAGGAAAATGAAATTAAAATTGAAAAAGTAAGAAAATAAGAATTGAAAAGAAAAAGTAAAAGCAAAATTGAAAAAAAGAATGAATGAAATGTAGAATGCAAATGAAAAGCATTGGTCATTTTTAAAAGTTTATTAAATTGACGGGAAAATTAATTTAATGTAATAGTATTCATTGTAACATTTACCGTAATCTCACCGTTTTCATTCTTATTTCTAGAAAATACTAGAAGCGCCAAATCATGAAAGGATATCCTTGATTATTAATTTCGATAGTTTAAGATATGAAGGATTTTTTGGATGAAATTTAGCTTGATCTACGTTTGATCGCTTCTAATTTGTTCTTGATATATTTCTCGTTGGTTTTATGGTTTATTGGAGTCAATTTTAGTATCAGATACAATTTGTTGGATTTCTTGATATGATTTCTACTGAAAACTGGTTACTGCTCTAAATTAACCTAGATTAAGCACGTTGCTGTGGTTGCCCTCAGACAGTTGAAATCCGTGAACCAACTCAAGTTATCTGATGGCAGTAAGGAAGATTGCCTGAAGTTCCTCACCAGTTTTTGTGGATCGGTCAAAAAGCATGCACTACTGGACATCGAAGAATTTGAACAAGATCAAGAAGTAAAAGAGCAACTCGGCAAATTCATCGAAAACCAATTGAACGGATGCGAAGAGATCTTTCTAAATTGCGACTTCCGGGATGGCTTCCACTTCTACCACGAGGCCATGATGAAAACGCAAGTCAAAATGAGTGCAATTGGCTGGACCTTTCCCCTCGAATTTGAACAAATCGTCCGCTGCATTGTCAACCGAGGAATTCCTAGTAAGAATTCTGAAGCCGTGATTTTCGATTTTTGAACGGAAGAGGTTGGTGCCCAGGTCGTTGATTTTCTTTCACAAAAACACGGACTTGAACGAATCGATGACGGCGAAAATCACTCGGCACTCGTGTCTCGTGCAAAGGGCTTTTTAGGGGGTCGCTGGTTCAATAAAAATAGTTTGTGTTTCCGCCGCCGAATCGACCCAACAACAAGTTGCATCTACCTGTTTAACGCGCTTGCAGGTCTTAATTTTTTGACCTTTTACGTGCCTTCCTCATGAAACATTTTTTTGCTGCTTTCTGTTACTTTTGTAACCAAATACCCTAAAATTCCATAGATAAGAGCGGTTTAATTTTTGCCAAATTTTTTTAAAATATTTTAATTTATTATAAAACCAAACAACAACAAGAACAAAAGTAACAATAATTTAACTAATATTTTCAATTTCTACATCGTCATCATCGTTTATGTTCATACCGGAAAAATCGTTTTTGAGGTTTTCAACATCACACAGTGCTTTTTCAAAGCTATGTATGATAGTGTCAGAAGAGATGGAAAAAAAACTTTCGCTGACCAAAAATGCTGCTTCTTGGTAGCTCATTCTTTTTCTGATTCCGCTTTTTGTATAATTTGCATTGCATACATTTGCATACTTCCGGAAAGAAGAACATTTTTGCTGATGATCACATGGCAGTGGTTGTCCTACACTTGTTCTTCTTCGTATCGACAATTTTTTTCGTGCCATGAATGAGCTGCACCAACGCGGGGATGCCTTGAACTCGTGGTAGCCGTGCTCTTCTGCTAACTTCTTTGCTCTGGTTCTTATCTCATTTATTTTGACTGCTCTATTAAGGTCTCTCTTTTGAACAATCCAATTGTAAATTTCTTCCTCAATTTCTTCCACGCTTGGCCTTTTGTAACGCCGGGCTCTTTTTGTTGCTGGCATCTCCTCGAGGATATCCCTATCCGCAACCCATTTTCTAATCATTCCTTCAGTCACATTAAAAAGAATAGCTGCCGCTAATGTTCCATGCGCATCCCGGTGCTTCACCGCATCAAGCTTGAAAGCCGCCGTATAAGACTTGCGACGTTGCATGATTTCTAAAATAAAAAATATAAAACGTAAGGTTAAAAAACAAAAAAAAATAAAAATAAGGAAAAAAATTAATATCCATAACAAAATTTCCGAAAAAAGTATTTTTTAGCGATAACCGCTCTTATCTATGAACCGCTCTTATCTATGGAATTTTAGGGTAATATAATTTTTTATGTACTTTACGGTACCTTAATCTTTTCTCTCTGAAATTCTTGCTCCATCGTAGACTCCTTAACGATCTCTACTTTACCCATCATATTCTTAATTCCTCTATTTCCCATCCTAAACAGTCACTTCTGATTTTATCAAAAAGGCCCGGCAGGCATATTCCCAAATTTAAACTTCTTTCAGGTAAATGGATTTGAAGATAGCGCTTAAATTCAGATTTATCATTCATTCATTTAACAGGTTCGAATTCAGATTTGAATCTGAATTGGGCAGATAATCATTGAATTTGAACAGAATAGAATTAATTTATTCGTCAGGCTCTGCAACTTTTCTCTTCTTGTGTTCCATGAGTTTAATGTGTGTCCATTTGTCAATTAAACATGTTCCGTTGTCACTTTTTCATGCTTACATAAAGTGTTGATATATCTCCTGGTTCGGGTCTAGTTCGCTGCTGACTGGTTATTATCCCATTATGTTGTAATTATTATGGAATTATGTTGTAACTTTTTCCGGAGATTACGGTAACTTTCCCTAGTACTCATTGTCAGCCAGCTACAAGAATCCCTGACAAACTAAAATCCTACAAGATTTGTTTGAGCTAAACAAGTTTCGATTTTAAGTTGAAACTCAACCAAAACCAAAACATAAAAATGGTTTCGTTTCGACGAATTTCCTCTTCTCTGGCAAAAAGATACCGAATAGCTGAGTGGTTAGAGCATCTGTCAGCATTAAAAGCAAAGCATTAAAAGCAAGAAAGGAGAAAGGTTAAGAGTTCAATTCCCTCTTCGAAAATCTTTCTTTGCCATTTACTTTACATTTCGGTTCTTTCTTTAAAGGTTCTACCATTAGAGTTGTTCCAAAGGTAGACCAGAAGTCGGATCTTGCACTGGGTTTACTGCAGGCTTACTGCAGGCTTTTGATTGACTTCTGGCATTGCATAGAAGTTAAAGTACTCTACGTAGAGTAGAGATAAATTTCAAAAGAAGTCAGACTTCAATTTTTCTTGTTTAACGATGAGAAAATCTTCACTATTTAACAGTTTTCGAATCTATTTAACTATTTCGAATCTATTTAACAGTTTTCGAAACATTGAAAATGTTAGAATCACATTTAAGTTTTGGTTTTTTCGAGAAAACAACATAAGTTTGTGACAAGTTCATTTTTTTGTCAAAGTAGACGCTTTCTACAGATCTTTCTAGGCAAGCAACAGATTTTTTTTATCATTGACTTAACGTACATCATTTTCTATTAAAGATATTTAGGGATACTTCAGCCAAATCAGGCCTGCAAGTTAAGCTATCGGACATTTGACGCGCCCTCCCCTTTTACCATTCCCATAACTTTGAGCTCAAATATCTTGAGGTTGAGCTGTTCAATTAAGCTATTCTTGATACCATTAGATTCTCCAAGTCTTTCTCTGTCGATTTGTATAAAAACTTTTGAAATTGGACAGCTGAGCACCAAGAAATTTGAGCTCAAAGTTAGATTGCCAATGGCGAAGGGGGCGGGGCGATTGTGAGACCTTTTATACGCGAGGCCCCGCCCCTTTTCCCTTTAACTTTGTAAACTTTTGTACATTTCTGGGCTTTGTACAATGTCCCAGAATGTCTTTCCAACAAGCCACAGTACAAATTCGATTTTCAGGCTCAAGCGATCCTGTGCTCAAACTGCAACTATTGTCTGAAATTGGACGGAAACCGGGGCGGGAATATCTATCAATATCGAGGATGTGGCTGCCTAAACCAATATCAATACACCTGTTCGGTGAGTTGAATTTCTTAAGAGTTCTTTGACTCACAATCAGATGATGAATCAGATGATCACACACAATTTTTGTTTTCTTTTCAATTTCCTTTTTCATTTAAACGATTCCAGTCAACGACAACAATGTCTGGGATTTCAAATGTGCCCGGTTTCACGGGAAGCGCCTACTGTTGCACAGGTGAGCTTTTTTTTCCAGAGTCAAATTGATTAACGCGGGTAATTTTTGATGTAAGAAGAAAAACGACAAGAAAACTCATGTTTTAGAATCGAAATTACCATGGGAATAATGTAAAAGTTTCACTGTTTCACTGTTTTATTTTTTTTACTAACATTAGATCATTAAATATTAAGAAATTGGCTGAAAGCTGCTTAACAGCGAGTATATCTGGGTAGATGGCTCGTCACCGTGGTGCAGCCAGGAGCGTATTAGATCAAAATAGGAACCGTATTGGAACCAGATTGGAACCGAATTGGAACCATATTGGAAACGTATTGGAACCGTATTGGAACCGTATTAGATCAGAATTGGAACCGTATTGGAAACGTATTGGAACCGTATTGAAACCGTATTGGAACCGTATTGAAACCGTATTGAAACCGTATTGAAACCATATTGGAAACGTATTGAAACCGTATTGGAACCGTATTGGAACCGTATTAGATCACCTACGGACCACACGGTCCGGGTTCGACCCTCCGTACTGCCGTATTTCGATTTTTTCAAATTTCTTATTTTAAATAAACAACTATATTATATTTTAAGACTTTTTATCTTTTCAGGCCGAGGCTGTAACTCTGCTTTCTCTTCCTCTTCCCTCATCAGCTTGATCCTCCTCGGTGTCGCGGCTCTTCTCCGATGAACAAATTCCTTAAAATCTCATTTTCTCTACTCATTTTCATTTCCCCACGCTCAACTCTTTCCTATAAATTGTCTAAGCTTGTAAAATAAATAAGAATTACCTCTTTAAGATCTAACATAGCTGTGATTTGTCTTTTTTTTTGTAAAACTTCAAATATTTTATCAAGATAGTTTTTGACACCGGTTTTTTTTAAAAGAATAAATAAAAGATCAAAATTAATTGAAAATTGAGTATTATTTTTTTCCTGGGGTTCAGAAAAGGAAATTTTTCTGAAGAAAAGGCAGATGATGAGAGGAAAATGAAATCAAAATTGCAAAAGTAAGAAAATAAGAAGAATTTAAAAGAAAAAGTAAAAAGAAGTTGCTTCGTTGTTCAACGCGTCCTAGGTGAGCTCTAGACGTGGGCTTTGCTTGATGTCCTTTTGTGCGTTCAGCATCAAATCTGAAACCAAATAAATTATGTGACCTTTTCATGACAATTTAGCTAAATACCATTGATTTGCTGCAGTTCATCTTTAGTTGCTTCGGAGAACTCTGTGGCTCCCGAAACGGCCGATATCGTAGAAAATCTCGTTGCATCATCTAAAATTCCCTGCTTCATCCTCAAAATTTTAAGCAAACCTATTCACATCTTCAGAATCTTGCTGAATCATCTCCACGTGTTTTGATTCTAAATAAGAAAATTCAAAAACCATTAAAACGACAGCAAACTGCACACTATTCTTCCCTCTTTGCATTTGTATCACTAATTGTTCCGAAAAAGTTACGAGACATTTATTCATTTAGATCCCATAAAAGTTGAAACTTTCAAAACTTTTCAACCTAACCCTTGCACCAAAACTGGAATTGTTAATGTCTACAAAAAAGCAAGTTTCAAACTTGACCGCTTCAAAATTTGCTCAGTCGTGCATTTTGGAATTTGTGGATTTCAGTGAAATCTTATTACAATTTACCGATAATCCAGTAGCTCAAAAATTTTCTTTTCTAAAGTCCAATCACTTCAACCAATTACAAGTCAATTCTCGAAATCAAAATTAATTGCACAACAATGTTTACCTGGTATTTTCCGAGAAGATCCAGCTTTTTCACATTGAGATTGCAGCCGGGATTCTTTTGAGCGGGAGAGCGCCGCTTCTTTCTGGAACAGATCAGAGAAGAGCCGGGTGATGATGAAGTTGGATCTAAACGAAAATTGTTTAGCTCAATCAAGTCTTGTAGGATTTTAGTTTGTCAGGGATCCTTGTAGCTGGCTGACAATGAGTACTAGGGAAAGTTACCGTAATCTCTGGAAAAAGTTACAACATAATTCTATAATGGGATCATAACCAGTTAGTAGCGAACTAGACCCGAGCCAGGAGATATATCAGCACTTTATTCATGTAAGCATGAAAAAGTCACAACGGAACACGTTTAATTGACAAATGGATAACACAATAAACTCATTGAAATCAAATTTGAAATCATGCCTGCCGGGCCTTTTTGATAAAATCAGAAGTGACTGTTTAGGATGGGAAATAGAGGAATTAAGAATATGATGGACAAAGCAGAGATCATTAAGGAGTCTACGATGGAGCAAGGATTTAAGAGAGGAAAGAGTAAGGTACCGTAAAGTACATAAAAACTATAGTATTTGGTTAAAAAAGTAACAGAAAGCAGTCAAAAAAAATGTTTCATGGGGAAGGCACGTAAAAGGCCATAAAATCATGATTGAAAGACGCGTTAAACAGGTAGATGCAACTCGTTGTTGGGTCGATTCGGCGGCGGAAACACAAACTATTTTTACCGAACCAGCCACCACCTAAATAGCCTTTTGCACGTGACACGAATGCCGAGTGATTTTCGCCGTCATCGATTCGTTCAAGTCCGTGCTTTTGTGAAAGAAAGTCAACGACCTGGGCACCAACATCTTTTTCTGGCGTTATAATGGAAATCACGGCTTCAGAATTCTTACTTGGAATTCCTCGATTGACAACGCAGCGGACGATTTGTTCAAATTCGAGGAGAGTGATCCAGTCAATTCCAATCGTTTTGACTTGCGTTTTCATCATGGCCTCGTGGTAGAAGTTGAAGCAATCCCCGAATTGGCAATTTAGAAAGATCTCTTCGCATCCGTTCAATTGGTTTTCGATGAATTTGCCGAATTGCTCTTTTACTTCTTGATCATTTTTTACAAATCGTTTGATATTCAGTCCTGCCTGCTTTTTGACCGACCCACAAAAATTGGTGAGGAACTTCAGGCAATCTTCCTTACTGCGATCAGAGAACTCGAGTTGGTTCACGGATTTCAACTGGTCCAGGAGCATCCAATCGGTCCATTTGGCTTGGATAAAGATGTCCAACTTGTCGCATGAATCAATCCGTTTGACGAAAGGAAGAAGAGTTGAATTCAGTTGCAGGCACGGAGAATCGACGAACTTCTGGATCCAATTTTGCGGTTTTTTGGTTCCTTGAGGCTGTCCGAGGGCAATCACAGCGACGTGCTTTCCGAAAACGATCGATTGATCCATTGCATAGCTCGCGTAGAGCCTCTTGTTCACCATCATCAATTTCACCACGTCTTCCACATCGAGATCGTGTGCGATCTTCTCAACCAGCTCCAGAGGTAAATCTTCAAACTTCTTCGGTTCCGGTTCTTGCTCCCGTTTTTGTGTACGCGTTGCAACCGGCATTCTCGTATCTGAAAATAAAAAGAGGTCATTGGAATTGAAATTTGTATGATTTACTGAAGTCACTTTTGTCACCAAAAACCACTTTTTTAGGTTAATCTAGAGCAGTAACCATTTTTCATTGTGAAAATCATAGCAAGAAACTCCAACAGATTGTATCTGATACTAAAATTGACTCCAATAAACCATAAAACCAACAAAAAATGTACCAAAAACGAAAGAGAAGCGATCAAACGTAGATAATGCTAAATTTTATCCAAAAAATCCTTCAGATCTGAAACTATCGAAATTCATAATGAAGGATACACTTAAAAGCAACTGAGTGAGCTGAATTTAAGCTGGAAAATAAAAGGAAATGATTATAAAAAGACCTAAAAGGAGTAAAAGAATACAATCTAGAGTAATAGCCATTTTAATTGTATTTAATTAATCTAGAGGAGTAACCATTTTTCATCGTAAAGGAAAATCAAAAGAATGGCAAAAGGGGATTTTGAGCGGGGTACAGTCGCGCATCCAGGCTTTAGCGCTACTCTTTTAAAACCTCATGTCATTAGGGATCTAACTTCAGAATACCAAGAAAGAAATTTTGAAATGCTCTGACGACAGTCAATTCATATTAGACACATATTGACAAGAATTTGATACAGATTCAGTAAGAGCGTTAACGAAAAAAAAAATAGGCTTCATTTAGACTAGAAGTATGTGTGCAGAAAGCTGCGAAAGCCTTATGGTTACTTTTCCATAATCAGTGTGGCTTTTTAGTGTAATGGATCAAAATTTGAACGAAGAGCATACGACTCAATCCGACATTTCAAAAAGTGGTAGCTTTGAAGAAATTGAGCCCGATGATGAGCAGTGAGTTTTCTTCACATTAACAACTTTTCTTGGGAAAGTCGCGTAATCTTTCTTGTTTTGAATAAAGTTTAAATTTTAGGAGGTCGACGATTGAACGACGCACGGTTTCTAGATCAAGCACGATAGAAAGATTGACTTCAGGTTTCAATTCCCTTCCTTTTACCTAACAAAACTGCTTTATAGGTTGTGCAGCTGAAAAGGACGCAACAAGACGAGTAAATCAAGCTTCATGAAGCAATTCTGTGATTTTGCGGCAAGAACCTTTGAAAGATTCGGCCAAGTATCTATTTTTGTGCTAATATTTATCATGTTATTTTAGAAAGAGACGTTCGTGAGCGAAAACGGAAGCGAGAGTTTTTGCCTGATACATCAACTGCATACAATAGGCGCACAATTAATCAAGGAGCAACTGGGTTTCTAATTTATATATTAAACAAAAATAAAACTTGAATGTTTAGAGATTCACCGCCTACGGCGAGCGGCCAAATTCAGTATATTTTGCTTTGAATGAAAACGGCGCTGTGATGGTTTGCTGGATGACAGGAACCGATTGATGGAGTTGATCGGTGAGTAATGATGATAAATGGAAAATAAATGATAAATGACTAATGACTTTTTAAAAGTGGAATCATTGCAAGGATTGGAAAGATGAGCGGTCATTTTGCTCTATGACTTTTGTAATTCCAGATGCTGTATGATGACGACAAATGCTACGATCGAGCTGTTGACAAAAAGGCTAATTGTGGAATATTGGATAAAATTCAAAGTTTAAAGATTGGATAAAAATTTATATTATCCACTTTTTGCAAAGTTTTAAAGCAACCTCTTAGCTCTGCATCACCACCAGTTTCGAGCACATCGACGATTTTCGATGGCAATGCACAAATAATACAGTGGCCTGTGAAGGTTGATTTATTGATGAAAATCATGAATATTCCTTGTTCTATCGAAAAATATTTTTAGCAAATTCTTGTTTACAATAAATTTATCAAATCTTGTTGAATAATGAAGTTAACTGTTTAAAACAGTGCTCGATTTCTTGCTTTTTTGCGTTCCTTTACTGACAATGAGTTTGAGGATTTTGTCGGGTTTTTGGTGCCAAAAGAGACCGATTTCCTACTTTCTTGTTGAATTGCATGTCCTCTTGGTTAATGAAGCCAAAGTTTGATACAGACATTCAATTTTGACATGCAATCCTTGAGGTATGTCAAAATTCAAAGTCTGTGGACATACCGTAATCGAGCCATTGCCGCTTTCTAAAACGTGCCCATTTGTGGGTACAACTGGGAAACCTCTCATTTTTTTCTTGTTGTTCTGCGTAGATTTAAGCTTGAATGTTACTTTTTAGGCCAATATTAGTAGATTTTATTTGGATCTAACCTACCTAAGTCTTTTGAGTGATTGGATTAGAGAATTTAAAAGTTTTATGACTTTTGTTGGATGCTCGCTTATGCTCTTTGACTTTGACTTTTTAAAGTAGAACGTTAGCTTTTTTTCATTTCTGTGGGGAAACGTTATTTCTTTTTGTTCAAGTTCTTTTTGTTTAGGCATTCGAGAAGCTAGGCGTCGCGAAGAATGGTTTGATTTTGTTTTCGTCCGACTTGAGAATTTTCACAAAACTGCGGTAAGGATCGGTGTTTTATAGCTTACATATCTGCTTGTAAAATGTAAATACAATTAGTATAGTTTAATCTAAACGGCGAAAAAGTTTCTGTAAATCACACCAATATCCACATGAATTTGAGAAGAATGAAAAGCACTTGTTTTCAAAGAAATGCCAACTTATTTGAGTTTCGCAATCAAGTCGAGAATATTTCCTTTTTACAGGTGACGATCTTCACGTTGCTTGGCGACAAAGTAAAGGATGTTGCGAGCGTATTCAAATGCAGCCCCGAAACGGTGAAAAAGCTTTGCAAGAAAGAAAAAACGACTGGAATTCTTCACCGAGCATTCAAAACAGGTCGTTCACCCGTCACAACACCAAGAGAAGACAAGGTTCTAATTTTGGCCCACAAAAAAGGATCCAAATCTTAATGCTTCCGATGGAGTCAGATTAATCAAGCATCAATTTAACAAGGACATCAATCGAAAGACAGTAAGCAGACGTTTGATTCATGCAGGATTGATGACTAGAAGACCTGCCAAGAAGCCCCTGATGGTCGCCAAACACCGGAAGATTCGACTCGACTTTGCCGAGAAGTATCAAAGTTGGACAAGCAACGACTGGGCCAATGTCATCTTCACCGATAAATCGAAGATCAACTTTTTCAATCCCGACGGCAATCATTTGATCCGGAGACCTGTCGGACAACGATATAGCACCAAATACCTTCGTGCGACAGTCAAATTTGGTGGCGGATCAATCATGTTGTGGGGTAAGAAACTTTGATCTTTATGCCTATTGACTTTTTTTTTTTCAGGAGCGATGACTAGAAGTTCACCAGGTCCGCTCGTTCTTCTCAATTCAACTTTGGACGCTCAACGATACAAGGTGATTTTGGAGAAAGATCTTCTTCCATTTGCGACCACAAAAATTGGACAAGGATGGTTGCTGTACCAGGACAACGCTCCATGTCACAAGTCGCAACTGCTAATGGGACGAGTGCCTTGCCAACGGTGGTAGAGCTCGTCTACCCGGATGGTTCCGATCGAATGGAGTTCAGCTCGTATCTGCTCCTCCCTACAGTCCGGATTTGAACGTTATCGAACATTTGTGGGCGTTTTTGAAGCAGAAATTGAAGGGAAAACGCTTCAATACCAAGATTGAGCTATGGTACTTCATTCGACACGTCTGGACAAAGATCGGTCCTCAAATTTTACAGGATTTGGTCGACTCGATGCCGAAAAGGATTCAAGCAATAATTTCATCAAAAGGAGGCCCTACCAAATATTAAAAATACTCGGTTTTTTCTCACTTTTTGTTCGAGGGGTAAAGACTTTTGTCCACCTGTTTTGAGGGTTTTTTTTTTGTTAACGTCGTTCTTTGTTGCCTAAAATAAATCATTGTTTCTTTTGGTTATGGGATATAAAAACTAGAGTAAAAATGCTACAAAATACTTTGAAAACAATTTTTAAAACTTGTTAAAAAGTTGAAAAATTTTGCGTTTTAAAAGCTGACCTCAGTAGGGGTAAAGACTTTTGTCCATGACTGTATTGTTTGCCCATGGTTTTTTGGTTTGGTTTTTTTGGTTTTAGGAGAGTGGCACTAAAGCCTGGATGCGCGACCGTACCCCGCTCAAACATTTCCCTTTTGCCATTTTTTTGATTTTCCTTTACGATGAAAAATGATTACTCCTCTGGATTAATGAAATAAAATTAAAATGACTATTGCTCTAGATTGTATTGTTTTACTGCTTTAAAATCTTTTTATAACCATTTCCTTTTATTTTCCAGCTTAAATTCAGCTCACTCAGTTGCTTTTGAGGGTATCCTTGATTATTAATTTCGATAGTTTAAGATATGAAGGATTTTTTGGATAAAATTTAGCTTTATCTACGTTTGATCGCTTCTCATTCGTTTTCGGTACATTTTTCGTGGGTTTTATGGTTTATTGGAGTCAATTTTAGTATCAGATACAATCCGTTGGAGTTTCTTGCTATGGTTTTTACAATAAAAAATGGTTACTCCTCTAGATTAACCTCAAAAAGGGTGACTTTTTGGTGACAAAAGTGACTTCATTAAATCGTACAAATTTCAATTCCAATGACCTCTTTTTATTTTCAGATACGAGAATGTCGGTTGCAACGCGTACACAAAAACGGGAGCAAGAACCGGAACCAAAGAAGTTTGAAGATTTGCCTCTGGAGCTGGTTGAGAAGATCGCACACCATCTCGATGTGGAAGACGTGGTGAAATTGATGATGGTGAACAAGAGGCTCTACGCGAGCTATGCAATGGATCAATCGATCGATTTCGGAAAACACGTCGCTGTGATTGCTCTCGGACAGCCTCAAGGAACCAAAAAACCGCAAAATTGGATCCAGAAGTTCGTCGATTCTCCGTGCCTTCAACTCGATGCAACTCTTCTTCCTTTCGTCAAACGGATTGATTCAAGCGACAAGTTAGACATCGTTGTCGAAGCCAAATCGACCGATTGGATGCTCGTGGACCAGTTGAAATTCCTGAACCAACTCAAGTTCTCTCATCGCTCGAAGGAAGAAGATTGCTTGAAGTTTCTCACCAATTTTTGTGGATCGGTCAAAAAAGCACACACAACTGGGCATCGAAGAATTTGAACAAGATCAAGAAGTAAAAGAGCAACTCGGCAAATTCATCGAAAACCAATTGAACGGATGCGAAGAGATCGGTCTAGATTGCCGCTTCGGGGATTGCTTCCACTTCTACCACGAGGCCATGATGAAAACGCAAGTCAAAAAGATTGCAATTGACTGGATCACTCCCCTCGAATTTGAACAAATCGTCCGCTGCGTTGTCAATCGAGGAATTCCAAGTAAGAATTCTGAAGCCGTGATTTTCATTATAAGGCGAGGGAGAGAGGGTGGTGCCCAGGTCGTTGATTTTCTTTCACAAAAACACGGACTTGAACGAATCGATGACGGCGAAAATCATTCGGCATTCGTGTCTCGTGCAAAGGGCTTTTTTCGGGGTGGCTTGTTCAATAAAAATAGTTTGTGTTTCCGCCGCCGAATCGACCCAACAACGAGTTGCATCTACCTGTTTAACGCGTCTTTCAATCTTGATTTTATGGCCTTTTACGTGCCTTTCCCATGAAACATTTTATTTTGGCTGCTTTCTTTTACTTTTTTAACCAAATACTATAGTTTTTATGTACTTTACGGTACCTTACTCTTTCCTCTCTTAAATCCTTGCTCCATCGTAGACTCCTTAACGATCTCTGCTTTGTCCATCATATTCTTAATTCCTCTATTTCCCATCCTAAACAGTCACTTCTGCTTTTATCAAAAAGGCCAGGCAGGCATGATCCCAAATTTGAACTTATTTCAGGTAAATGGATTTGAATAAAGCGCTTAAATGCAATTTATCATTCATTCATTTAAGAAGTTCGAATTTAGATTTGAATCTGAATTAGGCAGATAGTCATTGAATTTGAACAGAATAGAATTAATTTATTCTTCAGCCTCTACAATTTTTCTCTTCTTGTGTTCAATGAGTTTACTATGTGTCCATTTGTCATTTAAACATGTTCCGTTGTTGCTTTTTCATGCTTACATGAATAAAGTATTGATATATCTCCTGGCTCCTGGGTCTA